ATCAATAGTTACACTAAACATAAATGGTTTATATACTCCAATAAAAAGACAAAGATGTGTAGATCATAAATTCAATTAGGTGCTAATTATGGAAAATATGTATCATGTTATTAATCAAAAATATACTAGCTATATTAAATGCAAAATATATTTCAGAATAAATAATATTAAAAGAACAAAAACTTATTTCATAAGGGAATCAATTCCTTAAGAAGATGTAAGAATCTTTAATATTAATTCAGCTAATAAAAGAGCTTCAGGATGCATGTAAGGTTTATAGAACTGAAATAAGAATAAAATAATCAAAAAGTACAAGAGAGCTCAAAAGTGCTGTTTTAGTCTTTGTGGGAGCAAAAACACAGAGTACAATTAGGAACATAAAATTTTACTAACATTATCAAACCATGTTTGACTATAGAACAGTTAGATCAACATTAGAAATGTATGTTATTTTTTGGGGACTATTGATTATTTACCAAAATAGATCACATTGTAAACCATCAAGGTCTCAAGAGATACAAAAAGACAGTAGCATGCAAAGTATATTCAATATAAACACTGGAATTAAATTTCAAATAGTAACAAAATATAAACCTAAAGTATCCAAATATGTGGAAAGTTAATGTGCTTCAGAGTAACCACTGAGGTTTTAGAAGAAATCTAAAGATAAATTAGAAAATTGTCTAAACATTTTAAAAGCAAGCAGTTCATATTAAAATGTGTGGGTTGCAACAAAATCAGTACTTAGAATAAGAAAATTTGTAGCACACTATAAAAGAAGATGTAGAATAAATTATAATAGGTTATATTCTAAGAAGTAGTACAAATAAATATAAAAACAGAAATTGTAGAGACAAACCAATGAGACTAAAGAAGGATCTTTGTGAGATTTATAAAATTATGAGACCTTATCCAGACTGGTTAGAATTAAAGAGAGAAAACAAATTAATAATGCCAGGAATTAAATGTGAAATCAGAATCTACAGCTATTAAAGAATAATAAATAAATGAACAAGTTTAATTAAAAAATTGAGAACTGTATAATAGTATAAATATGTAGATATATAGATGTAGCTATTCCCTGAAAATCTCAAAATATCAGAGCTTACTCAAGAAGAAATATTTGGGGCAGGTGCACTGGCATAGTGTGTACAGCTGGCCCCTGTGGCACCAGCATCTGATATAGGCACTGGTTGGAATACCAGATGCTCCACTTCCAATCCAGCTCCCTTCTGATGTGCCTGGGAAAGCAATGAAAGATGCTGTAGTGCTGGGACCCCTGGACCCATGTGGGAGACCCACAAGTTTCTGGCTTCGACCTCGGCCAACCTCAGCCTCTGTGGCCATTTCAGGTGTGAACCAGCACATGGAAGACTGACCATCTGTGTGTGTGTGCGTGTCTGTGTAACTGTGCGTTTCAAATAAATAAATAATTCTTTAAAAAGAAAAAAAAAAAGAACTAAGTCAAGTAATTGAAATGGCCCTAAACCTATTAAAGCAATTAAATTTATGGTTAAAAGTGTTTCTAAAATGGAAACCAGAAAAATAATGACGTTATTAGTGAATTTTACCAAATATTTAAATAAGAAATAATTCTACAGAAACTTTACCAGAAAATTAAGAGGAACAAAACCTTCCCATTCAACTCTGTATGGCCAGGCTTACTCTAGTACAAAAGCAAGACAAATATCTTAAAGCTAGACATTGTTATCCATAAAAAATATGGTTGGTTAAAAAATTCTTAATAGGATGTCCTAACAGCACTATGGCCTCAGAATCAGCCCTTAAGACATGCGGATCCGGCTGAAAAGCCCATGAGAGTATGTCAGGCATGGAAAGCCAAGACACTCTGGGGAAAAAAAAAAAACCTAAATGAAAGATCTCCACGAGTGAGATCCCAGTGGAAAGAAGGGGTCATCAAAGAAGGAGGTACCTTTCTCTGAAGGGAGGAGAGAACTTCCACTTTGACCATGGCCTTGTCTAAATATGATCAGAGTCGGTGAACTCAGGGGGCTTCCATAGCCTTGGCAGCTCATGACAAGAGCCTAGGGTGATTACTGAGGCCATAAACAAGAGTGTCAACTTGTTAAGTCAACAACAGGAGTCACTGTGCACTTACTCCTCATGTAAGATCTTTGTCCTTAGTGTGCTGTACATTGAGATTTAATGCTATAACTAGTACTCAAACAGTATTTTTCACTTTATGTTTCTGTGTGGGAGCAAACTGTTGAAATCTTTACTTAATGTATGCTCAACTGATCTTCTGTATATAAAGAGAATCGAAAATGAATCTTGATGTGAATGGAAGGGGAGAGGGAGTGGGAAAGGGGAGGGTTGCGGGTGGGAGGGACCTTATGGGGGGGAAGCCATTTGTAATCCATTGTAATCCATAAGCTGTACTTTGGAAATTTATATTCATTAAATAAAAGTTAAAAAAAATTCTTAATAGGAATGTAAGTATCGTTTAACAGTTGGAAATCTGTGTTAATCACCATTTTTAAAATTGGTAATGTAAAACTGATCATCTCAATAGGCAAACAAATATCATTAGTTACGATCTGACTTTCATTCCTTATAAATCCTCAGCAAACTAAAAATAGAGGAACTTCATTAGTACCTATTTGGTGTTGGCAACCAGCCTAGTTATCCTTGTACTTATTATTAAAGGGCATTTTTTCTCATGAAATCTAGAATAAAGCATGAGTACTATCAACAATTTAGTTCATCACTGTCTGTTCACACAGTACAATAGGCAACAACAGTGACAACAAGAAGTGATCCAGATTAGAAAGTGAGAAGCAAGACTCTCACTGCTCATAGAAAATCTGAGGGTCGGCCAGCGCTGTTGCTCACTAGGCTAATCCTCCGCCTGCACCGCTGGCACACCGGGTTCTAGTCCCAGTCGGGGCGCCGGATTCTGTCCCGGTTGCTCCTCTTCCAGTCCAGCTCTCTGCTGTGGCCCGGGAAGGCAGCGGAGGATGGCTCAAGTGCTTGGGCCCTGCACTCGCATGGGAGACGGAGAGGAAGCACCTGGCTTCAGATTGGCGCAGCACGCCAGCCATAGCAGCGATTTGGGGGGTGACCCAACGGAAGGAATACCTTTCTCTCTCTCTCTCTCTCACTGTCTAACTCGTCCTGTAAAAAAAAAAAAACAACCACGAAAACTGAGGGTCTTACACAAGCTACAAAATACAATTCTAGTAACGAAGTTTAGGTTACAGTGGCAGTGTACAAAATCAATTGTACATTGGAAATGAAATAAAATGCCATGTACAACAGCATCAGTCTGTGAATTAAATACATTCTCCCATAATCAAAATTATGGATCTAAGTAATATGTTCAGTTAAATATGAAGGAGGTGGTATTGAGATAATTTGGAAGTTTCAAGAATTTCCATGTAGAATATCCAGTTGAATTAAATGATTGGCATCCCATTTTGACCTTAAAGTTTTTATACTAAATTTCTATTTCTTTGAGTCATATTATTTAAGGTACATCCATAGAGCTCTATTTTTAAGTGTACTCAGCTACTTATCAATTATAATCAGGGTTGAAATTTGATTTGCAAATGAATGAAAATGGGCAGAGTCAAAGGAATTTTTACTAAGAGAGTGAAAAGGATAAAGCACAAAGTTAAATATATACATTGAGCTGTGAAGTAGGGCTGCCTGGAATAGATACAGGCAGAAGTACTTAGTTAGGGTAAAGGGAAAATTAGGATTAGAGAGCCAAGGTCTGGCCTGTGGGTGGCCTGGGTTATTGGACTGGCTCAGTGTTACCTGGAACAACAGGGAGAAAAAAGTCGGGGATATAAAGATGACAGTCATTGCTATACATGGCGCATCTCCTGACTGCAACTCAGGTAATAGTTAACTTAAGTTTATTTTTTCTTTTAAGCTCACTTATATCTGCTAAGACAATTTTGCATAATAATACGGATCATAACCTAAATTCAGGAAGACAAATCAGATATTACCACATCATGATATTTATTGTCATATTTTAAAAAGAGAACATTCAACATAATGAATATGAAATTTTTTTAAAGATTTATTTATTTTTATTTGAAAGAATTACAGAGAGAGGGGAGGCAGAAAGAGCAGTCTTCCATCCGATGGTTCACTCCCCAATTGGCCGCAATGGCCAGAGCTGCACTGATCTGAAGCCAGGAGCAGCTTCTTCCGCATCTCCCACGTGGGTGCGGGGGCCCAAAGACTTAGGCCATCTTCTGCTGCTTGCCCAGGCCATAGCAGAGAGCTGGATTGGAAGTGGAGCAGCCAGGTCTTGAACCGGTGCCCATATGGGATGCCGGCACTTCAGGCCAGGTTATTAACTCACTGTGCCACATCGCTGCCTGCTGGATATGAAAGTTTTTAATAGATTTTTTTCTTTATTTGAAATACAGAGAGGGAGATTTTTCATCCATTGGTTCTTTGCAAAATGGCTGCCACAGTCGGAGCTGGGCCAGGCTAAAGTCAGGAGGCAGGAACTCAACACTTGTCTCCCACGTGGGTGGTGGATGTCGCGGCCCAAGTGCTTGGGTCATCTAGTGGTACTTTCCCAGGCACATGAGCAGAGACTTGATTGGAAGCAGAGCAGCCAGGACTTCCCAGCTGGTGTTCTGATAAGTGATTCAGTGTCAAACACAGCTGCTTAACCCACTGCGCCACAATGTTAACTCTGAATTTGTGATCTTAGTGAATACATTTATTGTAATACTACCTTTTAATGTTTTTCTGTTATTACTAAACTTGATATTTCTAAAGTGGCATTACCTAAATTGTATTTTACATTTGATTATATACCTGAAGGTATATTTTAAAATTATATTCTAAATCTCTAGGTCTAAAACTCTAGGTCAACATAAAATGTGGATTATTTTAAAAGAAGTACATTAGGATATTTTTATGCAATTAGAGTTTGAAATAAAATTCTGTTTTATAAATACACAAAAATGAAATGTAATAACTATGTTCTAAAAAGAAATATGCAAATCCAGTATTATTGGTTAATTTCTTTGTTTAATGACATTTTACTCTTTAAAAAGTAGGGTGTAAATTGAGGTTAGAATTTGGTAAACAACTACCTGTGACAGTCATACGTATGAGTTAAATTAATTTGAAAGAATATTACTTATTTTATTTATGTACTAGAGTATATTAAATGTTGAACTTTCATTTGAGTTAAGCCTGCTTATTCCAGAATTCATAGCTATTTTCAAAAATGTTTAATGTTGTTCTTTTCTGAGATACACAGATATATAATGTAAATTAGTTCCTTTCCTTATTTTTTTTAAGATTTATTTATTTATTTGAAAGAGTTACACAGAGAGAGGAAAGGCAGAGAGAGAGAGAGAGAGAGAGAGAGAGCTCTTTCATCCGCTGGTTCACTTCCCAGTTGGCCGCACCGTCCAGAGCTGTGCTGATCGGAAGCCAGGAGCCAGGAGCTTCTTCCAGGTCTCCCACAGGGTGCAGGGGCCCAGCCAGGACTTGGGCCATCTTCTACTGCTTTCCCAGGCCAGAGCAGAGAGCTGGATTGGAAGAGGAGCAGCCGGGGATGCCAGCGCATCCGGCCAGGGCGTTAATCCGCTGCGCCACAGTGCCGGCCCCTCCTTTCCTTATTTTTAAGAGTGTGAGGAAAGAAGACAGTTAAATCTCACCAGAACTGGCAATAAAAGATCTATTATGCAAGTATGACAAAATGTTGATTTTTAACATTGGCCTAGCAGGAATCATTTATTTTTACAGTGATACTAATTTTTATTCCAAAAAACAGCTTCTTATTTTGCTCTTTATGCCAATTTCAATTCAACTTAACTTTTTCTTTTCATTTAAATTGTGCTATGCAATGTGCCTCTATTTTTAATAGTAAATGTTATTTTTTACATCTGTGACAGTTTCTCCAGTGATTGGAGTGGTCCAGGTTTTCAGCTCGTCTTCAGAACAGAGTAGTAGATGGCATCGTTCCACCCCTGTCCTGTGAGCAAGTGATTCTACTGTGTAGGACGGCTGTTACTCACCAGAGCTCTGTGTTTTATCTGGCAGAAAATTTGTCCGTTTCGTCCATGCACAGCAGGAGAGGGAAAAGATGTTTTCTGTCCCTGGCCACCACTCATCCCCCATCATTTCAAGCTGCATGCAATAAACACAGAAAAGGAGAAACTGTTGCTATGGAAATTCACCCATAGTTCCATTAACTTGCCTGTTACAAACTATTACATTTTAGTTGTTTTGAATTTAGACTCAATTTTTATGTGTTTTGAATTTGCCTTAAAGCTATTAAGAAATTGGATGAGAAGTAGAAGAATGTGACTGAGCAACACTATTTTAAGTTAGAAGAATGTCATTCACTTTCAAGAGTTTTCCATATATTCCTCTGTGCCTTGATTCTACAAAAATAGAGACCATATAAAGATTTTCTAGATCAGGAAAAAATGCCCAAATTCCTTAAGTTTCCATACCAAAATAATGGCATTTAGAATCACTGTGTTGCCTAGTTAGTGATTTTTTTATAATGCATTTCCTTGTGTGTTCTCATTGAGAATTCCTATCAATCATTAGAGATTCAGGTCAAATATTTTCTTCAGGAAGCATTCTTGCTTTTTTTTCCTATTTTGTACTAAGATTGTTTTTTACTATGCCACTACAGTACCTCAACTATGTTTACATTTACCAAAATTTGTTTCATTTGTCAGCCAAAGAATTGGCCTGGTTTGTAATCTGTAAGCAATGGCTCAGCAGGAAGCCTTCATTATTCCTGTTTATCTCACTCACACTCAACAGGAGCCCAGAATGTGTTGAATGCTCTGTCTTGTTGATGAGTGAATAAATGTGTGAATGAATTTAGCATCATTTGAAGATAAAGCAGTGGACATATTTGAAATTCCATAAATATCATGAAGTTGTTAAGTCACACCTTATAAGCTGCAGTGGTTTTATTGAATTTACAATAATAATACACTCTTACTTTGTGCCTAGTACAGCACCAAGTGAATTATGTAATCTAATTATCAAAAACTCTTAAGTTTTAAATTTTAGATATGAAGTTATTTATTCTGAGAATCAAGTTACTTTAAGAGCTCTCTCTCTCTCCCCCCGCCCATGTGTGTGTGTGTCTCAGTTGAGCACAGCCAGTGTTAACTCTAAAACCAATATATAAAAATGAGAAAATAAAGGGAAAAAAATATGTAGGGTTGCCCCTTTAAAAGACTTTAGACTTGTAACCTGTGTTGTGTAGAACCAGAACCTGAATTGTTAACAGCTGTTGGAGGGACTGGTTAGCCTATCAGTTAGGATACCTGCATTCCACATCACAGGACCTAGGGCTTATTTCCAATTCTAGCTTTTGACTCCAACTTCATGCTAATTTGTGTGGCAGCAACAATGGCTCAGGTACTGGAGTCCTTGTCGTGTATATGTGAGATCTAGGTTGAGTTCCCAGATCCAAGCTCAAGCCTGGATATTTGGGACAGGATAAGAGCTCTGTGTATCTCTTTCTGGTTCTTTATCTCTTTCTCAGTCTGTGTCTCAATTAATAAAAAAAAAAAAAAAAGAAAAAAAAGAAAAGTTTAACAAATACTAGTAGTTGTATTTTAATTCATATTATAAATATTATTTTAAAATAATTATAAATATTGAAAGCCACAATGTTGTATTCATGCTAATAAAAATGCTGTGTTGTTACTGCTGATTAGAAGCCATCAAAAAAGATGTGAAATGAGTGCAGCTTGAAATAGAATATGCCAGTATACTATCCATTCTCATTTATGGCTAGATCTATAGGTGGATGATATGCAGAAAAATTAGGGACACTACTTTTTAGGTAAACTATACTCCCAGTGGTTAATCCCAACCTATCTCAATAAAACAACTTCTGTACAGTATTTGTATTTACACAATTCCTTGGGTCTCTTTTTCTTCCACTTAATCAAAAGTTTTAATTTCTGATATATATTTTTATGTGAATCAAATAAACTATTACAATTCCACAAAAATAATAGATTAGTAATATTTGTCAAAATATTTATGATAGAAATAGTAAAATATTGAGAGAACTTCTAAGATGCATACCTGAAACCCCTAGTGTTGCCGTTGATTTCTCAACAATGTTGCAGTGGATTGTTTCTGAGAGGAGGAGCGTGGTGGGGGCAAGAGGTGCGGAGTCACCACACAGACCCCGGGAGTCAGGTGAAAGCAGGCTTGAGGCGAGCAGCCCACAGACTCGTTTATTTCAGTTGAAACTATGTCTTATATAGCCAAGACCAGCCAATCTGGTCAAGGGGCGGTCTATGCCCCATCCAATCACAGACTGTCAGGCAGTTTCCAAAGCCATCCAATCACAGCCTGCCAGGTGGTTTCCAAAGCCATCCAATCACAGCCTGCCAGGCGGTTTCCAAAGCCATCCAATCACAGCCTGTTGCCAGGCAGTTTCCAAAGCCATTCCTGAGTAACTAATGCTTGCTTGTCAGTGGCCACCTTGGCATGGCCCTCTCATTCCACCACACCCTAGTAATACTAATTGCTTTTTCCACAAATCCTCTTACTTTGTTTTCTGTTATATTTTTTATTTAACTTCTCTGTGCCACATTCATCTTAGCAGAAGGTCCTGACAAATGTGCTTACTGAATAATTAGTCCAACTACAACACTATCAGAGCCTATGATGGCTTCAAAGAAGAATTTGTTACAAAGTCAGGTAGCCACATTGATTAGAAAATCCAGAAAGGGATGTCCTCATAGAATTCCACAGCAAGAAGAAGAAGAAAAAAGAAGGATCTGATAGAATATTTTTAAAACTTGATTGTTAGTACCTGACAGTACCTTAAAAGATTCTTCTGATTTGAGCTAATGTAGCTGATGGTAAATGTGTGTCAGCTTCAACAATGTGTAATTAATTGTGAACATTTCTCATTATATATAAAAATTACATGTAGTTCAAATGAAACAACATTTTCTGACTAAAATTACTGATTTGTATTACAGATATGCTATATGAGTAGTGCTTTAAATAGGTACATGCATCTTATTTTACAAAAGGACAAATCCTTAGGAGAAAACTTATTGTATGTCCAATTATCAGAATGTTTACTAAACTGAATTATATATTAATTCTGAATTATTGTCAGTTTCTTCCTCCCTTGTTAAAGCACTACTTAGATACTGCTCATTGTCTTGATTATGACCTGGAGACATCAGCAAAGTCAGAAGGCAGTCATTTTTTAATTCAAATACTATTATCCTGACTGTTGATGTACAATGTAATTCAAATACTAAAAGGCATGCCCAAATATATCTACAGTAGGATGGCTTGTGGAAAATAATAAGGAATGGTGAAGAATGGAAATTAATTCTCCTTTTTAGAAATTATTTATGTAAACAATTTTTGCATATTTCTGTGTACAGTTTTAAGAGCAATCATATTGTGGTTATTACATTATAATTTTCAAAGAACCAAATGTATATCCAAAAATAACCTTTTCAACTTCATAAGACTTTTTTCTGTATTACTGAGAGGTGGTAATTGCTGCAGTCTTAAAAATGAATGAAATTTATTAGGCCTCTAAAGTGTACATGTATGGATTATTAAAAGTAATTCTCATGTCATTAAACGTGCAAGATTTGTCAGCGATGGGAGCAAAAGTAGGGGAGAGCACCAGACTGTGATACAGAACTAACAAATATGGGAAAAAAAGGAAATGATAAAGTTAGGATAGCAGAAGTTTGAGATATAATAAGAGCGATTTAAGTTACAAGAAATTTTTGGTACAGTGGGTCCTTATTCCAGATTCAGACAGTATAGGAATCCATATTTGGTCAGAATGGGCCTGATTGACAGCCCTGCCATGTTGTCATTGGTTTGGGCCATCCGTGGGAAATGTGGAAGGCAGTGGTGCGTTTACAGGCATATCCAGGGTCAACTGTGTTTCCCACATGGGAGAGCTGAGCAACACACTTTCATGGTTGGCATAAAGTTCTAGATACTCATCTTCTGTTGTTTTAAATATTGCCTATAACATTCTAAAACCATTGTGATATTTTCGCTCCTTTGTTTATTCTCTAAAAGTGAGAAAAGATTTGAAACAAAATGTGAGATGCATGAAACAGAGGAGAAACAAACTTCTCTTTATCCTCTGTGGCTGTTGCCTTAAATATGAGAACACAAAATGATAAACAATTTGTTCCTCTTGAAGTTATTCTGATACTATAGTTGTAATAAAATATCTGCAGAGATGTGTTAGTGATAACAACCAGATTATTCTAAAATGCATCAGAAGAACTGTGCAAAGTACCTAAGAAATGTATGGACAAAGATTAAAAAATACAAAAATTTGATTTCAGAATTAAAAACAAATGGTGAAAGTGTAGCATTACTAAATATTGAATATATATGCTTCACATACTTACCTGAACTCTTATTTTCTTTTTTTTTATAAGATATAGTATTTATTTATTTATTTTTTGACAGGCAGAGTGGACAGTGAGAGAGAGAGAGAGACAGAGAGAAAGGTCTTCCTTTTTGCCGTTGGTTCACCCTCCAATGGCCGCCGCCGCCGGCGTGCTGTGGCTGGCGCACCGCGCTGATCCGAAGGCAGGAGCCAGGTGCTTCTCCTGGTCTCCCATGGGGTGCAGGGCCCAAGCACTTGGGCCATCCTCCACTGCACTCCCTGGCCACAGCAGAGAGCTGGCCTGGAAGAGGGGCAACCAGGACAGAATCCGGCGCCCCGACCGGGACTAGAACCCAGTGTGCCGGCGCCGCAAGGCGGAGGATTAGCCTAGTGAGCCACGGCGCCGGCCCTGAACTCTTATTTTCAAATGGGTGGATTTTATATTATGCTGTATTCCAGAATTAGTAAATCCCCATTTAAAAGTTAAAAGTGCATAAATTTTGGATATAAGATTTAAGTATGCAAAATTTGTATTTGAAATGAATATAAAAAAACTTGATACTTCAAATTTTTATGAAAAGAATGGGCAAGATAAAAGTTGTATAACATCAGAATACCTGGGTATAAAATTAACAAGTTCTTATATCTAAAAACTCATTACTGGAACATTCAGTATAATTAACAAAAAATATATTAAAATGATAATTCATATAAATTATTTTTAGAATGTTTATATAATTTATAATTTATTTTATTTGGAAGGCAGAGAGAGAGAGAGATCTCTGTCTACTGGTTAACTCCCCAAATGAGGAGTTGCAAAAGTCTTTCTAGATATAAACCCTGTTTGTCCTGTGAAAAATATTATTAAATTCAGAAGCTTATTTGTGAAAATATATATCTTCTATAAGAGGCTTAAATACCCACTTCCTGCCCCACCACTGCCATTGTACCCTGTGGATGTTGATTGCATCCCTGCTCGTTGATGTCAGGATTAGTCATACTGTTGGTTTTAACCACATCACGTGATTTCCTCATGATGGGTATTGCATCTATGCAAGAGTTGGGTGTACTAGAGGATTCATTCTCAATAGATCCTAGAATAGGAAACACACACACACACACACACACACACACTTAGGCTCTCACACACACACCACAAAACTGTAGATGGCTCAACTTATAGCTAACCAGTAATATGGGGAAAAATACATCTTTTTATTATACGCATCCTATTTCAAGTTTTTTTTTTTTTTTTTGACAGGCAGAGTTAGACAGTGAGAGAGAGAGAGACAGAGAGAAAGGTCATCCTTTTTCTGTTGGTTCACCCACCAAATGGCTGCTATGGCCGGTGCTGTGCTGATCCGAAGCCAGGAGCCAGGTGCTTCTCCTGGTCTCCCATGGGGTGCAGGGCCCAAGCACTTGGGCCATCCTCCACTGCCTTCCCAGGCCACAGCAGAGAGCTGGACTGGAAGAGGAGCAACCTGGACAGAATCTGGCACCCCGACCGGGACTAGAACCCGGGGTGCCAGCGGTGCAGGCGGAGGATTAGCCTAGGGAGCCACGGAGCTGGCCCTCATGTTTGTTTTTTCTACAGCATTACTTTAGGTAGGTATTCTGGGGCACATGATATGAAAGAGAGAACTCCACAGTTACCAGTTTCTCAAGACAAAATGATCTCTTCCACATCATATGTACCCAAATCCTTTTGTGTCAGTCACAGGGCTGATAAGTTGTCTGAATATATAGACCCAAGAAACAAAACCAAACCAAAATCCTGATGATTAGAGAACTCCATCACCCTGACACGTAAGAAATAAACTGGCAAGATTTATAAAGCAAGCAAATTTATTTGTGTTTTACTAATCATTGTAAGTATCTCTGATATTTACCTGGTAACTATAGGATTTGGCACGTCACTTGATTTGCACCTAAAATTGGGACTTTCTTGTGGGTTAGCACCTAGAGAGAAGTAATGATGCATTGCTAACTCTGTAGATGGCCTAGCTCCTATCAGAGTGTTAAATTAGATCTTTACTCCACAAAATAGCTTCACAAAAGGTGCTCCCTAATAAATAACTATATAGTCAAATGATACTGGAAAAGACTGCACATAATTATTACCTCCTGAAAATTCCAATATCCTACTGAAGATATGATTACTCTAAAATAAATAAAGTGATTTACTTGGGCCCACCATTTCTAGGCTTTTAAATTGTATTTTAGTCTTGGAATGGTTGTTAACCGCTAACTTCTACTATCCTTCAAAACTCATTTTCCTAAAATATGCTTTATAAAATGTAAATTACATAAAGAAGTAAGGTCGTGTTATCCTAATTTCATAAGAATTGGCTTCCCTGATTTAAAATATATAGGACTCTATTTTGGCATGTAGGCACAGATTAAATGTACATTCAGACAATATATTTTCTGGAAAATTATAGATGCCATTTTTGTTATGGCCTTTAATCTTCTCTGTAAAGAACAAAACACCAAAAATTAGTGGTATAATTTAATATTAGGAACACATGTTTCTTTGAGTTATGTATTTTATCTCAGCACATCTAAAATGTTTGGTATATAAGGCTGAAAAACTAAATCCATTATTTCAGTAATTCCTCAGGTACTTTTGACATCTTTTGCTATTTTTAAACATTTGTCATTTTTTAGATCTGCATATCTGATATTATGTTTAATTGTAATAGTCTGGCTTACATCATTATACTAACTTGGCCAGTGAATACATTGAAAAACATATAAAATGGTATTTTCTAACCATAATATCCAATCTAGAGTTGTCTATATATTCATTAAGTAAAATGATATTGCATAAA